TACAGAACAGGTGCTACTACAAATGGTTTTTATATGTGGATGTAATAACAGTTTGTGGTTACAGGCACATTCTCCAGGGGAAGGCTAACCAAATAAGACGGTACAAACAGCAAGGCATTACCCTGAAAATAGTCTTCAGGGCTTTGAGATCTTAGACTAGAAGGCTGTTTTTCTTAAATATAACACAAAGATCTTTATCATGGCCTTTTATTTTCTCTCTAAAGGTTGCATCCTATGATCTCTAGCCTAAGGATGGTACAACCCAGGCGTGAACAGGAATGATTTTCTTTCCATTCATGAATTGTGGTACACAGGAAAGCTTCTCTGTGAGTTAGCTTTCCTTTCAAGAACTGGATACTCAAAGCCTCAGAATTTAGATTTATTAGCTTAATTAAATTTCTATAAGACATTTTAAAGAGCTTTATTGGTTGTTGGACTGTGTTCTGCTTTTTTTCTTTTCCATTATACAATTTTTTTTGGCAGGCATTTCCATCATTAATGGAAAAATAAAAAGGTAAAAACCATGTAAGGATTTCTATTTTTTATTTTTATTTATTTATTTTAAGATTTTATTTATTTATTCATGAGAGACACACAGAGAGAGGCAGAGACACAGCAGAGGGAGAAGCAGGCTCCTCACAGGATCCTGATGTGGGACTCAAACCCTGAACTGGGATCATGCACTGAGCCAAAGGCAGACGCTAAACTGCTGAGCCACCCAGGCATCCCAGATTTCTATTTTTTAAAGGTAAATATATTTTTTTCTAACAGATCCTAGTCACAAAATAGTCTTATTAACAAATTATAAAATATTTACAAGTTTTTATGAATGAAAAAAATTAAACCAGCTGAAATCATATTAATTATAAATTATTCCAACAAAGAAATACTTTATTTACCTTGGAATATACTTCTCAATGCTGCTGAAAATTATTTTCAGGGAAAGAATGTTTCCCAGGGAAGAATTTTCTTAAAACAATCTTTCACATTTGTTGGCTTTTGGTAACACATTAGGTCCAAAATAAATAGGACTAATAAACTTCAACTACTTTTTATAATTTCTCTCCATAAAAAGTAAAGACAACATAAAACTGCATTCAAGATTTCTGTATGACACCTTTGCTATCAGATATAGACTTGATCAAAACTTATTCATAAAGATTTATTCCCAACATCCTAACAATGTAATTATGATTCTTTTTATCCTTTCAGAATCCAGGCCTCCTACTGTAATAAAAATAAAATCTAAACCTGTTTTAGAAATAGAGCTTTCATTTATGTTCTCTACCTAAAATAGGTACCCAAGCTTTGCTTGTTTCCAATAAATGACAACTATGACTGAGTTTCTCTGTTTTTGTGCTCTGAAAGTTATACCCTTAGGAAACATTTCCAGTGCACAATACTGAGAACAAAACACTTTCTTTTATATTGTTGGTGGTGATGGTACCTGCCAGACAAAAAAGCTTATTAAAAAAAATGGGAACCCTGGGGATCCCTGGGTGGTGCAGCGGTTTGGCGCCTGCCTTTGGCCCGGGGCACGATCCTGGAGACCCGGGATCGAATCCCACATCGGGCTCCCGGTGCATGGAGCCTGCTTCTCCCTCTGCCTGTGTCTCTGCCTCTCTCTCTCTCTCTCTGTGACTATCATAAGTAAAATAAAAAAAAAAAAATGGGAACCCAAAGGCAGGATACATGGATTCTTGGCTTGATTTTGCTCCTAATTTTGTACTTAACTTTTATGGGAATATTTAACCTCTATGACATTGAGTTGGTTTTCTTTTGCAAGGGAAACGACGAGACCTACCTCACAAGAGTATTGTAATGATAAGATGTGGAGGCAGTAGCAATGGAACTGCTTCAAAAAGTTAAAAGTGCTCTACTTGTTCAAAGTATCATTTTTATTTGAAGAATTCATGAATTCAGCAAGTATTTACTGAGTCCTAATGTGCATCAGACATGATTCTCTTCAGCTCTTACAATGGATAGCACCCCTGCCCTCACAGAACTTACATTCTGGTGAAGAAGGTGATGAAGGTCCATCACAAGAGAGGGGTACTTCTGTTTTCTAGAATAGTTGGGGAAAAGCTTCTGTGATATCTTGAGCAGAGACCTGAGTGAACTGAGGGAGCAAGTGAAGTAGGTATCTGAGGAATAGCATTCTGGGCCTAGAGTAACAGGTATTTTTGAAGGTTATCTGTCTCACCAAAGCAGGAGGGCCTTAGGGGAAATTCAAAAAGGGAAAGTGAACATTCTGAGACCTGAAGCTTCCAGAAAAGGGCAGATGAGGGTGAACACTGGTGCAGAGGTAGCTCTGGTGAGGACACAGCATCATCCTCAGCAGCATGGGGTATGATGAACACAGACTGGACCCAACTGAGTGAGACTCCTAGCTCTATCACATACCTGGACAAGTTTCTCAACCTGCCCACATCCCAGTCTTACTGAAGAGGGTCACTGAGAAGCTGACGAGATTCAGTATGTGCAATGCCAAGCACAGGGACTTGTAGCTAATGAAGACTCAAACCGCTCCTTCATTTTCTTGCCATTTTTAGAGGGTGGAAGAAGGAGGACATGTCAAGAGATGAAAAGAAGCCTTAGAAAAAAGGTAGCTAGACACCAAAAAACTCTGCCTAAGAAGAAGAAAATAGCAAAAATATCTTGCTTCTGTAAAAAGTTTTAATAAGGGATTTCTTTTTTTTTTTTTAAGAAGTTGGTAGCTTCATTCTTTTTTTTTTTTTTAATGTTTTTTTTCTTTATTTATTCATGATAGACATGGGGGGGGGGTGCAGAGACACAGGAGGAGGTAAAAGCAGACTCCATGCCGGGAGCCCGACATGGGACTCGATCCCGGGACTCCAGGGATCACACCCTGGGCCAAAGGCAGGCGCTAAACCGCTGAGCCACCCAGGGATCCCTAATAAGGGATTTCTAATCAAAAGTTTGAAGAATCATTTCTTTTCCTCTTTTTAGAAATTCTGTCTGAGATGAAAGAAAAGACTTTGGAAAAAAAATTGAGAGAAAGAAAGAATTTGCTAAATACAGGCCTCAATGTTTAGAAAACGAATGAACAAAAATAATCTAAAATGAGTCGGACTTCAATGCCTATGCATCAACATTAAAGTAACAACAAAAAGGAAGTCAGAATGAGTTTTCTCCAAATTAGACATTATGTTCCAGAAAAGATTTGGATTTGATTTGCATGCTTGGCATCCTTTTGTCTCTGAAACGAAGTATTCTGGATGCTTTTGCAAGGCATCTTTAGGAAGTCACCTGTGTTGGTTTCATTTCTATTGTTTCATATTTATGCTCTACTGCTCAGTTTCCACTGTTTACAAAACAATTTAGGATATTTTCATATTTATTACAATTTTCACAACAAAACCATTTCATGGCACACATCACTCTAACAGAACTCCCTCATGGGAAGCAAGACAGATGCAAATCTTCCAGCTCCATGCTCTCCCATGATACTGCATCTCCAAATAAAAATAGGGCAAGAGGCACCTGGGTGGCTTAGTTGGTTAAGCATTTGACTCTTGATTTCAACACAGGTCATGATCTCAGGGTCCTGGGATTGAGCCTGGTGCCAGGCTCCATGCTAGGCGTGGAGCCTGCTTGAGATTTTCTCTCTCTCTCTACCCCTCCCCTCTCATGCTGTCTCTCTCTCTCAAAAATTAATTAATTAATTAATTAAAAAATTAAGAAAAAACCGGGCAAATGAACTAACACTTCCATTCAAATTTGCAGGTCTCAAGGTGAGAATAGGTAGATTTTGTGTTAAAACTAAGAATTAGGGCAGCCCAGGTGGCTCAGCTGTTTAGTGCCTGCCTTCAGCACAGGGTCTGATCCTGGAGACCCAGGATTGAGTCCCACGTCAGGCTCCCTGCATGGAGCCTGCTCCTCCCTCTGCCTGTGTCTCTGTCTCTGTCTCTCACGAAAAAATAAATACAAAATCTTTAAAACAAAACAAAACTAAGAATTATAAAAAATAAAGGTGAATGAACAAAGGGTACAGACAATGAAGAAAGTACCACCCAGTATCAATTTTATAAATCATCAGAAACCCAGGGATTCAGGTCAAGAAGGCAATTAAGCTCAACTCAACTGATTTAAGGACACTGAGTTGGGAACAAGGAACATAGTTACATTGAGAGCTCTAGAGTTAGAAGACTGGACGTTGGAATCACAGACACTCAGTTCTAATCTCAGTTCCACTAGTTATGTGACTCAGGCAAGTTAACTTCTCTGAAGCTGTTTCTGAAACCATAAGAAATACTTGTATCAGGTTCATGGGCTTGTCCATGCAAATATACACAGAGTGCTTAGTCTACTGTTGGTACACAGTAAGCTCAACAAATGGTAGCTATTATTATCATAGGATGATGATACCACCATCATCATCACCACCACCACCACCACCAAATGTAAACTCCATAAGATCCAGGATTTTTGTATAATTTTGGTTGTACTAAACACATAATCAGCACTCAATAAATATTTGATAATTTATCAAAATAAAAGTATCATACTTTTCAAAATAAGGACACTTGCTGTCACCACCCACCATTTTCTCACGCTTCCCAAAATGGCACCACACAACTCTGGTAAGAAGCCATACTGTCCCCTTGAAAATAAATGTTGTGACAAGGCCATATTCTGTTCTGTTTTTCATTTTGCGCGCAGAGAGCAGCCACAATAATCATCTTTAAACCTAAATCTCAACATCTGCCCTGACATTTTCACTGAGTTTGAAGACATTATAGCTTTTACTTTTACTGTATATGCAAATAATTAAAGATACCCCACTGTGTCTTTCACTCAAAGTTCAAGAACCATTTAGCTGAAGATCCTAACTAACAGCTTTTATCTGCAACCTTTCTCTCTAAAATATAAATGCTATCAATTTGTACAAGCCTGAGAAAACAATAAAAACCACGGTTGCGTGGCCTGGTATATAGGATTTTGGCATACTGGGAATTTCCAAACACAGCACACATTACCTTTGCAGAATGTTCCATGGTGACCACCACTTTGGTCTTCACACTGGACACTAGATCCATAGCCCCTCCCATTCCTTTCACCATCTTCCCCTACAAAACAGAAATGGAAAAGAAGATATAATTCTCTCTCACTTCTTCTAGTATGTGGCAGAATTAAATTAATTGGCAAGAATAAGTCACTGGACTAATGAGTGAGAAAAACTCATTGACCTTTATTGCTTAGTTCTAGTAGCTTCACGACATTAATATTCTGTTACTCCATTATTCTATGATTGAAGGATAAGTTCAGGACAAATACTATGATATTACTTTTATTATATGTGGCTAATGGTATTTTGATGATATATTGGCAGCAAGACAATCAGTGGATAAGAAAAATCTTAAGAACCATTTCAGAATTCTGGCACTTTATCATTATTGCAATAATAGGAGATTGAAATCCTCATACCCCTGACATGCACTTCCTTCTTTTTAAAACACATAATCGGCACCACTGAGTCTTCAATTACAAACACTTTCTAAAGCACTCTCTTGGATTTCCTGCAGATTAAAATGCCATTAGGTAGTAGGCTAAGGCACTAATAGTGTTTCCCTAGTAATGATTAATATGAAGAGGTGGGTCTGCCTTTTTAAAACTTGGCATTTATCTTGCTCCTAGGAAAATAAGCCAAACAAAACAAAAAGTTTATTTCTGTTAAGCAAAAACAGAAAACAGAAGCAGAGTTCAGGACTTTCACCATCACCATTCTATTTTTGTTCACCTGTCCATCTCCTGATTCATTAAACATTTACCAGCCATATTCTACAGGCCACATACTCTGAATAATTCCCACTGTCTGTTCTATCTCCTGGTTACAGAGTCTTGGAAAAATCAGGTGTTTCCAGAGACGATGAAATAAATTCTTATTCAAATATATTGAAGAGAAATGTCTTCTAACATTGAAATCTCCTTAAATTTTTATTTCTTTAATCCAAGTCCTCTTGCTGATTTGACAGTAAACTCTCAGCTCCTTCCCCAAAATTTCATAGCTACAAGGAGATTAGGGAATGCACTCACACTTGACTTTCAAACATAGAGGTCTCAGATCCTCTGATTTCAGAAACATTTTAGAGGTCAATGCCAACACTGGACGAACATGAATTAGATGTGCATTATATAAAGGAAAGGAACAAGTGGTCAGGATGTCTTCATGGTTTGGAGCCTGCCACTAAATGAGATGGGCAGGAACTGGAAGTGGCTGCAGGGTAGTGGGGGAAGGGGGTAGGGAGGAGGACAGAAATGGAAGGTACAAAGTAAGTCTGTCTTCAGACATGTACGTTTGAGTGAGAATACCTACATGGAAATGTGTAATTTTATACTTCTAGGAGCCATGCCTTCATTAGTTAGCTGCAACTTTAATAAGTTAGGTATATTATTTTCATAGTATTTCTGTAGAGAACACCAATACCTTTATGGGATAAAATAAAAATAATGTTTCTGTAGAGAAATATATTTTCTCTACCTTTATGGGATGAAATATGAGTAATTCAGAGATGGAACCAATAAATATTTATCATAAACTCCAATACTAAGGAAGTTTGAGATTTTAGGGCCAAGGACACTAAAGCAAGTCTACTGGAAAATGAATTAACCTGTTGTGGTAAGAACATGCAGCCAGTCTCAGCTTCCACAAGACAGTGTCCTTGGGAAGACTATAAGTGCTAGCAGAATGAAGAAGTCAAATAAAAGTAGAAACTAAGCTAGCATTTTAAAAAATCCTTGAATTAGAATATACCAGAGGCAAATTTTTTTCGCCTATGGCACAATAATGGTGGGTAAAAGCTTATGCCAGCCTCTAACAAAAAGCATGTCCTAATTCAGGTGAATCTGATTTACATGTTTTATTTACTTTTTAAGATTTTATTTATTCATGAGAGATATACAGAGAGAGAGAGAGAGAGAGGCAGAGACACAGGCAGAGGGAGAAGCAGGCTCCATGCAGGGAGCCCGATGTGGGACTCGATCCCGGGTCACCAGGATCAGACCCTAGGCCAAAGGCAGTGCCAAACCGCTGAGCCACTCGGGCTGCCCCATTTACATGTTTTAAATCATTGTCAATTATTTTAAAATATTTATAGAGTGCCTACTGTATACAAAACACTGTGCTGGCAGGAACGGAAAGAGCTACAGAACATGGCAGAACAACCATCTCTGTTTCTGCTAAAAGGAACATTCTTGCCCATATACCTAAGATTAGGTGCAGAACACTTGAGATCTAGTCTATGAACCCACTGTACGACACTGGCAAATTCTCTGAATTATCTCTGAATCCATTATCTATAAACCAAGAGTAAGAATGCCCTACCATAGAGCTGTTATGAGGAGTGCATGAGATAATATATGGAAAACTGAAGAGTAAATAAAATTTATAAATTCATTGACTTATATCACCATCCAGGCTATTCGGTTTACTGAGAATCTAGTACGAGCCTGTCATTGTACACAGTGCTAGAGTTAGAGTTGATGACAACAGGCTTCTTCTCATAAACTTCATCATCGAGGGAAGGAAAAGCGTCCACGAGTAATTAAGGAAATTTGGAGCAAACTTCCTCCCTCTAAAGGTTTATTTATTTATTTTAGAGAGAGAGATAGAGAGAGAAAGAGTATGAGTGACAGAAGAGGAAGGGGGAGAAGAGAAGCAGACTCCCGGCTGAGCAGGGAACCTGATGCAGGGCTCAATCTTATGACCCTGAGATGATGACCTGAGCCGAAATAGAGTCCGATGCCTGACTGAGCCACACGGGTGCTCCAAACTTCCTCCATCTAAAATAAGCATTGCCACCACTCTCTCATCCCCAAGAGCCTAGTGCTAAGTGCCTTTTCCCCTCCCCGCGCATCCTTGCTAATTAGGATATAATTATAACACAGTGCATTTCCACTTTTCTTCGCCATCTTGTAAGTGCTTGGATGAGTGAGGAGTGAATGGATCAAACTAATAACATAGGCCCGTTCAAGTCCTAGTAGAGCAATGAGGATGCCCATGCTGATGGTGCCTGGGGAAGCAGAGGCAGGAAGAGGTGGCTGGTGCCAGGCAGGGGATCTCTCAGAGGTGGTGTCTCACAGCAGCACCATGCCACATGGCAAAGAGAACAGCAGCATCGCCTAATGGAAAGCATTTCTAGCAGGTTAACAAAAACACCTTCAACTATTTGGTTTTCCTGTTTTTAAAAGTAAATTCATTGTATTGAAAAAGAAAATAACCTATTTCCTTCCATTTCAGTTCCCAGATGATTTCTCAAACAGAATCAATTACTGAAGGAAAACAGTTCATTCTCTCTATACCGGCAGAAAGAAATAGGGTTAGAGGAGGCATATACTCTCCAATGCAGGTGGGAAATTCATCACTTCCCTTCAACCCATTTTAGCAGCCACTCTTTTGGGACTCAACAACTTGCATTTTCTGATTCTTAACTACAGTCAGGGGTGACCATGTACCTGAGTTCTAGACAATGAAGGGAGGTAATATCTGTGATTTCCAGGCTCCTGCCCATAAGAACCTCTCACATGCAATTCCTCATGCTCTTTTGCCTTCTGCAATCTGGACACTGACATCCAAGGTGACCTTGGAGAATGACTGAGCTCCTTCAGAGTTCTTCAGGGTCTTTAAATGACTGGGTACAGCAGAGCCCACTTATTTAGAAACACACTGTGCCGTACAATATCAGTGAAAAGTAAACATATAAGGTGCTAAGCCACTGAAATTGGGAGTCCTATTTGCTATAGCAGCTAGTATGACTGATAAAATAATGTGGCATCTAAATGAGTTCTATGGCATAGAGTTAAAACTGTTACAGTTGCACAAGGAGCAGGTCTCTTAGGAGGATAATATACTACTGCTCTTTGAAGCAGGAGACTGTGCCAGATACCAAAATTTACCTATCCAGATGTCCAACACAATGCTTGCCATTTTACAGAGATGAGATACAGACCTCACAGCCATCTTTATCTCCCTCCTCCAAATCCAACATCCTATTTGACATACAAACAAGCTGATACACAGAGAGGTTATGAAGCTAAAAATATACCTTTAAATAAATCACAAGAGGGAAAGTGATTCTTGGAGAAAAATAGGCCTGTGATGAAGAAGAGATTCTGGGCATGATTGAAGAACTGGGCCAGAGTAACACAAAGTGTGGCTTTCTTTAAAGTCTCATCAGCAAACATACATTTCTTGAATGGTGCAACTTCAGCTCTGAAATGTATTCTGGCTAGCATAATGGAGAGATGATTGCTGGATACTTGTTTCATGGCCAACTCATCTTTGCACAGTGAAGGACTGACTCCAGTATCAAGTATGCAAAGAACACAGCAATAAGATGAACTAGAAATGCTGCATGCTTTATTATGACACACTTATAAATTTTTCTAAAAAGATACTGACTCAAGCATTATCCTCAATTCATGAATATTTTTCATTCAAGGTCAATTATAAACCAGGCACCAAAATAGGAATAAAGAATAAAAGATGAATACAGATATCTAACTTATTTCTAGAAAGTAGATTTAAACTGAAATCAATTATTTTAAATATAATTTACTTATTACTTTGATCCTATTTCCTAACATGAGAATTTGAAAGTAAAAGAATTGTTATTAACATTAAAAAAAGGACAGCCCCGGTGGCGCAGCAGTTTAGCGCTGCCTGCAGCCCAGGGCGTGATCCTGGAGACCCTGGATCGAGTCCCACGTCAGGCTCTCTGTATGATGCCTGCTTCTTCCTCTGCCTGTGTCTCTGCCCCCCCCTCTCTGTCTCTATGAATAAATAAATAAAATCTTTAAAAAAATAAAAAAAAACATTAAAAAAAATCTTCAATGCATCAAAGTACAAATATTAAATTGCACTCCCAAAGACAGTAATTCAAGTTCTAAACATGACCTTTGGTGATGTTTTAAGGTTTTTACAAAAAAGGTAAAATGAATACATTTGAATAGTTCTGTGAAATGCTGTTTAAAATACGTTATAAAACATACTGAAAATGAGTCTTCCATCACCTTTATCATTAGTATATAAGTCGTAATGGCTTATCTGCAGATTTGTCACCTATATTCT